TGCTGCTGCTGGTGCTGCTGCTGGTGCTGCTGCTGGTGCTGCTGCTGGTGCTGCTGCTGGTGCTGCTGCTGGTGCTGGTGCTGGTGCTGGTGCTGGTGGTGCTGGTGCTGGTGGTGCTGGTGCTGGTGCTGGTGGTGCTGGTGCTGCTGGCGCTGGTGCTGCTGGTGCTGGTGCTGGTGGTGCTGGTGCTGCTGGTGCTGGTGGTGCTGGTGCTGCTGGCGCTGGTGCTGGTGGTGCTGGTGGTGCTGGTGGTGCTGGTGATGGTGGTGGTGGTGGTGGTGCTGCTGCTGCTGCTGCTGGTGGTGGTGGTGGTGGTGGTGGATATACCAACCAAATGTCTTGGGCCCAAAACGCATCCGACAGAAAAACAAGTGACTGACTACAAAAACCAGAAATCATTACAAAGCGTAACATCGTTTGTGGGGCCACTAGAACTGAACGCATGCAAGCACACATACTTATATAGGCAATACAGCTAAGGAGTACATAAACGGTCGGCGGGCGTGAAATTACGTGTTCAACAATATGTTGTCCCCAATCGAGTTACAAGTATGATAGCAGAATCTTTGTCAATAGGCTTTTGCACCGTAATCGGACGAGGATGAGAATGGATGAGCCTTTTTTTCAGCTATAAAGAAAGTTGTAAAGCCACGCTGCATCATGAGTAGCATCCGCAAACTCGGATGACGGACACCCGGTTTGGGAATCCCAATTCAGCCTGTACTGCTTCCATGCTTCAGGAACAGCATCGAGACCTGGAATCTTCAACAAGTAGCAAACTGCCAGCTGAGTCAAGCGTGACATCCTGGGAGAAGTTCTGCCAAGCCAGTTAAACATGTCCTGTGTGTAGAGGACGTGTTACGACATGCATATGCGCATGTGCTACATGCGTGCAAGTACAACAAAGTTCACGGGAATTTCAGGCCAAGTACGTATGTGGACAGGTTATGGCCGTACAGTCAAAACCGACGTTAATATCCCAGCCCAACCCCCAAAGCCCGCCGCTCCACCGGCTGGCCGCATTATGTGCCACTCGCAAGGAACTCCCAGTGTGGCGCGCAGAATCGGAGCATTGCGGAACTCAAAGTGTGCATCCGAAAATGGACAAGCCCGGATCATATTGAATTCTGAGTTCTCATCCGAAAACGACGCATTTGCTCGACATACATGTGCGAGTGTCAAGCCGACGTGCAAATTACGTGGCAGGCGCGGTTTTTGGTGCACTTCTGAGAAGCCTCGATTGCGAAGCATGTTTTGACTGACACACGTGATAAAATAGTAACAACAATAATGACAATAGTAATATTCTAATAAAACATAATAAAACTAAACTCGCAGGGCCCTGCTGCTTCGTGTGTGCAAACATGCGCCACTGCTGGCCCACGGAGCCTCAAACAAAGCTTAGCAAGCGTCCCTTCATAACTGCCCCACACCACCCAAGCTGAGTGACGAATCTCCACCTCAACCGTCTCTAACACCGCCCCATCGCTCCCATAGGCTAAGGGCAAGGTCGCGGTAGGTGCGGAAGCAAAGGCCAAACGAAAGGTGCTGAGGGACAAACCAAAACCAAACCTGGCGAGGATGCGAAATGGAACTGAACAATGCAAACAAGGCCCACTGGGCTAGGAAAATTGGCTCGCAGTTAAAGTACTTTTGAGGTCGAAAAAGGATGCAATTGGAAGGCACTGACGAAAGAACTGCATCACGTAGTGGTTTATACAACAGGTTGATGATTTCGAAAACTGTGTTTGTGGGCATTAGGCATCGCCACCCATGTGTTGAGCGAGGCTCACGCGATTCCACCTTTCCTCTGGAAGTTTGATCCCGGCAGCTGGGACCCACTGGGACCCAGGACTTGAAATCTAGCAGCCCCAAAAAAGCAAACCAGGTCAGGAAGCGGTACCACTGCATCCGCTCCGTATCTGTAGGTGCGCTGATGTGTCACATCATGGTCCAGCATGGAGTTGTGCTTCGTCCAGTTAGAGTGGTACACCGTGTAAGGCATCCGTCCCCAGCGATTCGCTATCCCGAAGATGGACTGCGCAAGGGCGTTAGCACCCTCCATGCCAGGATAGAAAGCCTCCGGCCAAGACCCCCGGGGCCAAAAGGATCCCTCTGAATCCAGTCCGGGATGCGAATACTTATATAGGTCACCAACCCCCCAATCCAAGCAGCAGCAGCGGTAGAATTGTAGCGACATTGATCGTATATGATATGTTATAGTCTGATGAGCGATTACAGGGTGCATGCTGGGTCGAATCAACGCGGCCTCAATCAAAGCCACATTCTTCTTGTTCATGAAATCTTCCACTGCCACCATGCCACCATTCAGCAGAAATATCACAGTGGGTTTGCCCAAGGCAATAATATAATTGGCCAGTTGCTGCTGCACAGGAGGCAGGTCTATACGATCCTTGAATGTCATTCAAAATGAAAAGCATGCATGTCAGTTATCTTATCTTGACAGGTTACAACATAATGTAAACGCCGTGTTCAACAAAATAGTTCGACGTTACTCCTAGTTTCCCGGTCGTGCGCTTCTCTCTCCATGAACTTTGGGTCCAGCGTTTCGCGTTCAGATATACCAAGCCCCAGAATGACCACGTCCTCAGCACAGCATGGACATGGAAAAGGGTTGAGTGCAAAGGATTGCCACTGTTGCTCATCCGTGATGGTTCAAGGGATGATGACCCAGAAAGCACCACAAATCAGCTTATGGCTTATGTGGCTGGTGGGCCTTAAGTATATCGCTCCTTAGTCTGCCCACAACAGCAGTATCAACCCACGCTTCTCAGAAATCATTAGCTTCGCAAGCGCCACTAGTCTGTACAGCATTCTGCAAGGCTCATGAGAACACGAGGAAATCTCAGGCGGTGCTGACGTAAACCACATGGTGTCTAAAATAATTAGCTGTTCGCACCTTTTCTACTCCACATTGCTTCTCTGCTGTCGACTCTTGCTTGCCCTGCAGACCGCTGCTGCAGGAGGGCCCGGGTGGGTGGGCCGCTTGAGCGTTCGTGAACGGCGGTCACAGCTAGTGTCAGCTGTTCGCACCTTTTCTACTCCACATTGCTTCTCTGCTGTCGACTCTTGCTTGCCCTGCAGACCGCTGCTGCGCCAGCTCCCATTGCTTTCCCATCTTTTGGGTCTGTGCCCTTTGAGAAAAAGTAGAACCAAGTAGCCGGGGGCAGGCGACTACCCATCAGCACCTGCAACTTCAGGCTCACTTCAGGAAAAGCTCGGGCCAGATCATGGATCCTGTCTTTCACACGAACTGGTAGTTGGGGAAAAAAGGTCGAGGAAGAAGCTTCTTGGAGGTATATCTCCATTGCGCGAGCGCTGATCCAACGACCTCTCCTTCTGACCAGCTCTGAATCCTCCGTGACCATGAGCAAGTGAGTTGCACCACCTGCTCTCAGGCTACCTAGGTCTAGGGGACGCCCAAGTGGCCCCTGAACCGTCGGCAACCCCAACGCTTCCAACAACTGCTTGAACCTAGTTCTCAAGGCTTGGGGCGACCATGGCCAGAGTCTGGCTGAAGGATGCAAATCCTCATATATACTTACAATCACTCCAACAAGGTCCTGCCAATCTAGCCGTGCCAACTGGTGCCTTGCGGCACGGAAGCGGGTCTTCGGTTCGCCGACCCTCAACATCACTGTCCACAATGCTCCGCCGGTATCAACCGGCAAAACCAGGTCTGAGCGCTTTGCCGCCACCACCTCACCTATCCTGCATATAGCTCCCCAGGAAAGTAGGATTGCACCTGCGACCCGGGGCCAACCCCAAACAATAGCTAGAGTGGTTGCTGCTAGCATGATCTGGTACGGACAGGCAACGTGGTGCTCATAGGGCTCCTCGCGGAGCCAGCTGAAAGCCAGGTCCCAGGCCCCACTAAGAAGCCGACGGACCCCCGGTTGCTGAGCTCCAATGCTGTTTATGGTCTCGGCGTAGTGGCTGTATGGTCAGCCTGAGGTGTACAAATCCATGCCGTACCTTGTCAGCAAATGAACCAGCTGCTCCGGCTCCTTTGGCGCTAGGTTCAAAAGCTGTTGCGACAAAACACCACGCTCTCTCAACCAATCTGAAAAACATTGCAGCAACCGGTCCCTGTTTGTTTTTGTGGACTGTTGAACTGGGCGACCAAACTCTAACGGCTTCTCGACGCGGGCCAGAGCCCTGCTTTCATCTGCAGTATGTCGGGGGCGCATGCCATGGCTCAAAGCTAGCAACACCGCTAGGAGCTGCCAGCAAAAAAGAAACCTAGCTAGTCCTCCGCAAAGGCCCTCCCCCGGAAAGACAAGGGTGGAGTCGAAGTCCTGCAAGACCTCATGCAAAGACATGGGGAGCTTGGAGGACCTCAAACGGCTCTGGGGCTGCAGAAAAGAGGAGGGCAAAAATCCATGAGCAAGAAGGATACCCAGGGTCAAGCTGGCCCAATTCGAAGCCCAGCGACGAAGCTTTGGCATGGCAGCCATTGAGTAAAGTCCATTGAAATCCAAGAAATCCATGAAGCAAGAGTCACTCTGTGGAGTTCGAAGGGGCACATCTCGAGTCGGGTCATCTGACGGGTTGAGACGAGTGGGACAAAACAATCCCGCCGCGTACACAGCAAAAGCCTGGCTAAGGGCAAAGGTCTTGCGAAGGAGCGGCGCTAGTGCACGAGATGATGACCGCCCTTTTGAGCTTGCGCGCAAAGCCACGTAGGAGTCCAGGAGGAAACAGAAGCGGCCGCCACCTCTTCGGGCCGCCTTCTTCATAGCCTGGAAAAGGCTAGCAAGCTCCAAGATGTTGATATGGGAGTTTCCCTTCCATTTCCACGATGACGACACCTCCCAGCAGGCTTTCTTTGCCAGCTCATTTGTGAGCAAGCCCTCCAAACCTGTAGTCTTGATGTCGACCCTGTTCAATGCTTTTGATTCAGCTCGTAAGTGCTTGTGGAAGAGCTTTGCAAGAGAGGCTGCCAGTGCAGGACAGTAAACTGCCGAACCTTTTGTCAGCGCTCCCTCTATACGAACGTGCTCATGATCTCGGGTGCAAGGATGACAAATTTCATGTGGCTGCATGTTGGCTGTCAAGAACCGGAACTCCTTTTGGAAAGGGCTTCCAAAGGAACATGAGGCTGTGAAAGTCTCCGCAACCCCCTCCAGGCTCAATAGGTAGGCCCACTCTGTCAACCAGGCCATCTTGCTCCTCCGTGGTGTTTCCAGCAGAGCGAAAACTTGTTCATGTAGAGCACACCAAAGTAAACATAGGCAGAAAAAAGCTAAACGATTTCCGACCCATACTTTTGTGCTCTTTTGATTGAATCCTCTTGGGCACTTGTAGGACCTCACCATGGGATGTGCTGCTGCTGAAAAAGTGGTACAAGGCGGCTCCAGCATCAAAGCACGAACTCTTGCTGATTGCACCAAGTACAGCAGCCACTCCAAGGTCCTTGTCTTTGTCATGTCATAGTGTGGCGAGTAGGAGAGGTCGATGATGGGGCCGACTGTATAGCCCAACATTGCCATTTGCTCCGAAACAACCCCACTGCCACCACAGACCTCGATGAAATCAAAGACCTGTGCCAAGGGCCTCTCAACAGGAGGCGGAAGATCTGCTCCGGTCTCAAAGGGGTCGCCAAACTCCTCCAGCATCTCCTCCGAATCCTCCTCCTCAAAGCCCCCATGTGATTTGAGAATGGTCTTCGGGATGCTCTCCAGCAAAACGTGGCCACCTTTGAAGTCTCCGGACTGCCACAGTGCTTCCGCAACTCGCTTGGGGATCCTCGCCTCACACACAGCCCCTTTTGATGTGGATGCATCGGTGCAGAAGATGGTCTGACTCACCTCTGCCTTGATGTTTGAAACAAGCACTGGCAGGAAAACTCCGCACAGGACCAACTCATTGGCTGCCGCCCTTGACAAGGATCCCAGCTTCGGCCTTTCCGCATCGAGCTCTGCAGGCTGGATGACCTTGAAGAGCTGATTGATGAGAGCCATGCTGCTCCGGCGAAAGCAGAAAACTGACACCAATGCACCAACCAACGAACTATGTAGAGCGTCTGTAGTATAGGCAAAATGTGCTGCATTGAGACAGATCCAGCTCAGGGACATTCTTTTTGCTGAAGGTGCACCGACTGGGAGGAGTCCTTCTCTAACCATCTCCGGGCGAGAATCGAGTTCTGCTCCAACCACTGTAGCAAGGGCTTCATCGACCACGTCCTTTGCATCTGAACCAGCAAGCCCTGCATCGGCATATGCCCTCTTTGCTTTGGTGAAAGCTGCAAACGCCCTGCTGGGCTTGTATCCTTGAGGCCTGAGCTCTTCTTCTGGAACAGGAGATATGGTGAAGTAGTCGTCTATGACCAGTCCCTCGTAAAGACCACGGGGCCTGATGAGCGATGACATCTGAAGCCGGTCTTCCCACTTCAACAGGTCATTCTCCTCGAGGAAGCCTGCATGGGCTGCGATGCCATATTCAACCCCAAGGTGATCTCCCTGCAGGACTGACTGGAAGCCTCCAAACACCATTGTTGAGCCAGCCACCCCGAAGTCAGCCGGACGAAGGCCATTAAGCTCATCTCCATGAACATTTCTATCAACTGGCTTCTTTCGGGCCTCTGCTCTTGCAAGGTAGTCCCTGTAGGCACTGAAGCCCACAAAGTCTTCCAACTTGAACGGCGGCCAGAGGAGGTTTGTCCTTGATCTCTCATAGGTGGCCTGCATCTGATGATAATAATCTGAACGATCTGTGATGCAAACCCGTACCCCACAGCCAGCAGGAACAAAGAGCCTCGTAATGAGTGGGCCACAAGGTAGGTCCTGTGAAGGGCCGGGGATCCGTCCTTCACAGGCATTCCGAAGTCGTCTGTCGCCTATCTGGCGATCCCATTGTGGTGATTTGTAAGCATTGAACACCTTGACCTTTTCTTCTGGACCAGGGTGTACTTGAGAAACTGGATGAAGGGCCAGAAGTCCAAGGTCATCCCACCTGCGAAGGAGTCTGTAGACCTCGGCTGGCGTCTCCAACTCAATATTTGGCTTTCCTCGGGTATAGACTGGCTGATCAAGCTCCAATATCTGCGGCTCTAGAAAGCTCATCTGAAACTGTGGAGGCATGTAGTCAGCTGCTTTCCACTGTCCTCGACCTGAGATCTTGAGACGATCGGCCTTCAGACTGGAAAAAGGGCTCAGTTGCGGATGGCCACTGTTGTCAGCTGGGACCGCATGACCTCCATGATCATCTGAATATGGGCCCGAGGAAATACCCAATGCATCGACGGCCTGAGCCAACTCTTGTAGCCGACTAAGGAGTCCCAAATTCTTTCTGCCCGAGGTCGAGACTTGTACTTCAGCACCTCGGTCGTTCGCGCTCAAAAGCAGCCGGAGCTCACGAAGAGCTCTCCTCTGGTGGAGGTTTGGTTGCCTCCGGATCAGGTCCAGTGGAGGGAAGGAATTAGCCATGTAGGTGTAGTTCAGGGCGCTCACCAAAACATGCAGGGCGCGATCAATGGCCTTTTCTCTTCTGCTCTTCTTGGGCTGACCGGGTTCCTCTGCAGCATAGGGAGCGAAGCTCGGCAAAGGCAAAGGAAAAAGAGCGGTAGGAGATGACAGTGGGCCATCTCACAGGTACTTGGAGAAAGCTGTTTTAGCTGCTAGCACCCATCTTGTCAACGACATGCACCAGGTGACAAAAGAGAAGGAAATCGTCTCGATGTCCCTCTTAGCAATATCACATTGCTCGGCCTGGACTGTGAATTCTGGAGGGGGGCTTGCCGAGCCCTTTGGACGGGTCTGGTTCCGATCTGCTCGGCTAAACTGGATTTGCCCCCTGGTAGGCGGTCCGCCAGCTTCCCCAGCACCGCGCGTGGGTCTGTTTCTTAGGAGTCCTGAGCCCCCGGGGTCTGGTCTGCATTCTGCTTCTGCTGCCATGGCTTGCGGCGAGGCTTTGCCTTTGCCTTGGGATCGTTTGATACCGAAGGGGTCTTGGAAGGATGACTCACCTCCTGCTTTTTGTTGTTCAGGATCTCGGTCTCCTTCAGGAATGCCAAGGCCACAGTTGCCCATGACTGAGCCACCAAAGGTGCAAAGGGGCGCCGTGCCCCGGTAGCTGTGGTGTTGCGGTTCATCCAGAGGTTGGAAGGGGGATCGTCCAGAAGGCGAAGCAACCAAGGTAGTTGCCAAGAATCCCCTCCATCCTGATTGGCCTGATCGATCATCACACAGGTAAGGGCTAAATGGTCTTTCACCGCACCCCACTGTCCTCTTGCTGCTGAGTCGTAGACATGGGCCAATGACCACATGATAAGGCCAAGGCTCCGATTCTGGCCAAAACCACCGAACTTCTCGAGGTAAGACAGCATTGAGATGCCCTCCAGGTCGGCCTCGTTCTGTGGGAGTGGAGATGTAGGCGACATACGCCGGCTCATACTTTGAGAGACCCTCAAAAAGAATTGGCCCGAACCCATTGAAAGCTCCCTCTGGAGCTTCTCTCGCCCAACAGCCCCTTTCACTCCCATTGCGCCCGTGGGGCTTGCCAGCTCTTGCATAGGATCGGTACTGCCCACCTGAAAATGTGCCACCAAAGCCGCCAGAGCTCGACTTTGCTCCAACAATGCTTCTGCCATCGGAGAGGTAGGTGGAGTCAAAAGTTCCCCATCCAAAGCATGAGGCTCGTCCTCCTTGACCGTCCTGTGCTCTGCAGTAGGAGGAGGCGGGGGCAACAGGGACATCTTCGTCTTTGGGGGGGGTCCCAACTGTCGTGCCACCTCTGTCAGAGGGATGGTCGGGCTGCCAAGGAGGGCAGAAACGGGCATGCTCGCTCGGGAGGTCAGAATGGGTGTGGCGGGAGCCACTGGCCTGACCGTTGCCTTTGAGCTTGATGAGGCTTTTTCCAATGCCTCTTGCCTGACTGACAGCTTGGTGAGCTGGTCCAGAATCCCGGGAAGTGCACTGCTGATGGTCTCCATCTGGGTGGCCAAAGTGGCCACTGTCTGCTTTTTGGGCTTTGCCTTCTCTTTTTCTCCTGGAGTAATGCCACCTGGCGCTTTTCTGCTGGGCGTAGAGGGTTGAGGCATTGTAGGATCCTCTTCTGCGGCAGAATAAAAAGCCACCCTGTCTGACTGATCCACGGCAATCCAGGACCTGACTTGCTCCAGAAGTCGAGGCAAAGCCGGCAAAACTGTTGCATCCCACTCGTAGAAGAGCACCGGGTTCAGACCTGGTCTGTCCTGCACAGGAAGCTCGCTGAACAAATGAGCGGCAGCTGGCAGGCTCATATCCACCACCAAAACACCTATGGTCTCCTCCACGTCTTCCCAAACTCCTTCCGATGTCATGGCCACTGCTTGGACAAAAAGGCCGGTATAGGGTCCAATGAGAGGTTCTTCGGCTCCCACTGGCAATGAATTGGCTTGCAAAACCTCCTCCTCGACTGCCGCTGATGGCAGAGCAACCAAAAGGCCTCCGGGCCTCCTCACCAAAGCGTGACATAGGGTTTCCTCTGCAACCAAAAGGCCTCCCCCTCCATGTTCCCAATGAAAAAGAAGAACTGCAGAGCCACCCTCTTCTACCACGTGTTGAGGTCCTAGTTCCATTTGTGCTGTGAGGGGTAGTCGACACCGGCCGCCTCACAATAGATCCGTGCCTCCGCCTGAGAGGGGAAGCCGTGGCACACCACTGACGGTGAATCCACCAGTCGTCCAACCAGCTTGTGCAAGTCGGAGTAGGTAGATACCCTTGTTGGTGATTCAAGTCCTGGAGCTCGTAGCACCACGTAGACTGCTGGTGACAGATCGATGGCGAAGGAAGCTCGAGGTTTTGGGACACGACCCTCGAGAGTATGACGAGCCCAAATGCCAGCCTCCCAGGCACGTTCTGCCCGATATTGCTTGCCGTACTGACCACCGTGAAGGGCCTTACAGCTAGCCACAAGTTGATGAGGACAAGGGACCAACTGAGCAATGAGGGCGTCGTAGTCGCCGTAGGCAATCCCCCGATAGGGATCAAGAGATGGCCTGGCCGGGTCGACCGAAGCTGAAGCCGATGAAGACGGGTCCTCCTCCGGCACCTTCTCAACCTTCTCCCAAGACCCTGCCTCACTGACAGGTGGAGCCTCCTTCTGGCCTTTTTCTTGCACTGCCAAGGTCAGCCGATCCAAAGCCTGAACCAAATCAGTAAGATCAGCTTTCTTCTCGCTCATGCAATCCCTGCCGATAGCCCTCCAGCCTCCGCCGAGCTTGAACAGCAGCGGAGCGAACCACCAAGGAAGGTGGGGATGAAGCGATCGAAGTTGGGGAGGATGAAGCAAAGAGCCAAATCCAAAAGCAGGAGGAGAGAATGACCCCGAGCAGGAAGCCAAGAAGGAGTGCAAATGCCACCAGGGAGTAGGAAGGTTGGTGACAATGCACAGGGCACTGCAACCCCCAAAAGCCGGTCCTGAGGGCCTCACGGAGGACAAGACCTGCCTGGGCCAGACCTTCGACCCACATCCGCTTGAGCGTTCGTGAACGGCGGTCACAGCTAGTGTCATGTGGTACAGTAACTAGAAGTATCATCAAGATTGGAGAACGTCGGGTCCCACCATCATCTCATGATGAACCTAAATATTGTTCAAGGACCCACCAAAAGTTCCCATCCATGGGGTGAGATGACTGTCCCTCCGCTTTTGGATTCGACAAACTTGGTGTGGTTGACCAGCCGACACATCAAACAGACCCATCACTCTTTGCACCAATCCCTGCACCTTAAAATGCACTTTGCCAAGCGGCCGCAAGCTTGGCTGCTGCCAATGCTTGCTGGAAGCCTCCTGGAAGTTCATCGGACAAATCGCAGCCCCTGACCTGATCTGCCCATCGTGGTCAGCCTTCAAATTGGTGTTGTAAGCGGCTGACATGATCACCCAGCTGTCTACCATTTCACTTACAGCACCACTGCATAGTGGCAAACCCTTACTGGGAGCAAGGACGCTACTAGGAGCAAAGGGCATTTCTACTAGGAACAAGAACGCTAGCGGCTCCTGGCATCGCTACTAGGAGCAAGGACGCTACTAGGGGCGCTCCTGGCCTTGCTACAAATGTTCGGCCCAAAAACACTGAAACATCGTGGGGCTCACCGCCAAGTTGAGCGGCCCCCCATCCTCATATTGTTGAAGAGATGCATAGGAGGGGTGTGAGGAGTTTAAATCTAATCAACATGCAGCTCCAAGGTGCATAGGTGGTCGTCCCATTTTTGCCATTTGTCTCCTGAATGGCTTGGTATGGTGTCCTCACGCAGTAGAACTGCCCAGCATCGGCCGCCTCCGCCTGCCATTCCCCTGCATGTGCAGAAGGACTTGGAGGGCACACGACGCCGGTGTCCACTTGGATCAAATCCATGGAGGCATTGCCATGGGGTCCCAAGACTGCCTCAGATGGGTTGGGCTTATGGTGTGCTAAGCTGTAAGGACTTTGCAACCTCACAATGTTAGCGAATGCCGGGGGCCAACTTGACTGCCGACCCTGTCTACCTGAACGCCGACGTCTTCTTCCAGCGGTCTAGTGATCTAAGGCAAATCGTCGTCCAGGTGCCAATCGCTGCCCTGCTTTGAGCGGCAAAATTCCAGGGTTGCTGATCAACACCAGCGATTCAAGCGCTGCAATGAGATTGAGCTCCTTGGCTTCATCAGTTCCAATGTCACCTGCCAGGTGACATGGGTCAGCAACTGAGGACGATCAGCAAGGTGCTTAGGGGCAGCATGAAGCAGAATGAAGCCTGAACTCCCTGATGGATGCGTAGGACCTTGGCACCTTGTTTAAACATCTCTTGTTTAAAGCAAAGTGGGAATTTGTGGGAACCCCCACGGCCAAGGCGAAGCCCTAGCCCTATGCCATGCCACGCCCACCTTGGCCCAGCATCCAGTAAGGCTGGTCCTTGATGGGATCAAAGAGCCCCAGCTCAAAGCGGAGCCGCAAGGTGTTGAACAGTGCACCTTGTGCCCAAACGTTTCGCAGGTGGTATCATCCAGCAACATGTCCTCAAACTATCCACTCGTGAGCCTGGCACCTACCATGTTTCTGAGGATGTTGGTGGCCTCTAGACCCCCAAAAAGGAATGTCAATGACAATCATAAACCTACGCAACACCGCTAAGCCTAGGCACGATTAATGTCTTCCATGGAACAATGGCCTGCTTTCACTCCTTCCAAAAGATGATCATAGTAGGTGTTGCCGCTGTCAATGTCCTGAGTGAGCGCAAAAGTTCGGACCAAATGCTTTCTTCCAGACCGCCTATAACTGCAAAGTTGATGAAGGTCATGCGCAAACAATCATGGCTAAACTGAAAAAAACAAAAACATGCAAAGAGACTGTAGGCTTCCCTAAGAATCTAAGAACCAAATCAATCTAGCGAGGGTTCTTCAAGGACCCAAGAATCTGCGTCCACTCCATTTCCTGGCTCCTTCCTACCGTACTTAGGCCCTACTTCCCGTCTCCCCATCTTAATTAGCAGTCTACCCCACAACAAAAACGTAAAAATTTGACATACTGTACCAATCAAAGCAATCACAAACAAGGAACGCATTGCCCATGCTTCAGTGCCAAACAGCTGGCCTCCGCAGCCGACTTCACATAGTGATGCCGTCGCCAGGCATCGCTGACCGCATCGGAGTCGCTGGTGACATAGCCGTCGAAGCCCCAGGCGGCGCGAGCGGCTTTCATCAAGGGATCCAAGCAGACCGGGATTCCATTAACCTAACCGAGACGATATGCAGAGCAAATACATGCCAGGATAAGCTCTCAGCAGAGCTGCGGAGCTACCAGAAGAGCTGTGTGCGACATGGGGCAACCACCAAATCTGCTTATATCATCTTATATCTGCTTCATGTTAGAGGTAGTATATAGAAAGCCAAATCATATCTTCCGGCTCGGCATAGAACATCCCAGCTCTCAAGATTAGAACACAAAAGGAAAGGCTCAAGACCACCCGCCAAAAATCTGTGGTGACAGATGATGAGGATGAAATCACGGTGGTGGCTCAAACAGTAGAAATTCAAATACTCAGTTTGCTCGCAGGAACACTGTTGCTGCTCAGCCATGACTTGTTCTGGTGGTTTATCATTGATGCAGGTCAGGAATCCCAAACACATCAAACTCAGCCACCTTAAAGCAAATGGTGCCATCGAACTCATATGTCAGTTGTATATAGAATAAGCAGCGATACATAATATATATATATATACCCATGTCCCATCAATTCCCGTCATATAGGGGATAGTGCCATCACTGTGGAGGCATGCCTCTGTTCTCTCTTTGATCTAGAAATCGGTAAACCTTCTCACATCCCCACGTTGCCAAGAATGTGAGGAATCGGCTTATCATAAGCTGTTCGCCAAGTTCTGGATTTGATCCTTTCTGCTTCACAGCTACCCGGCTACCCCACATCCCAAAGCTCGCTCCTTGAGAGGTCACAGGTCTTCTAAGGTGCATTTCCCTTGTTGAGGCCTTGATTGCATAAAGCCGCTCGATTTTTGTCAGACCCATCGGCAGGAGCGAACATTCTAGACGAGGCCACCGAGTTGTAGCTGCACATCACGCCCTTAGCCTTGCCAAGCTTGATGGAAGCCCTGAAGGCTGGCCAGTAGTAGTCAGCAAGCAAGTACTTGGAGATGTTTGCCTCGGGGTGCACGAACCCAGCATAAGGCAAGATTGGGTGGCAAGTAACCATGGTCGTATGATCAGAAACTGAAGTGCTGACTGACATGTCGTAGTCTTAGCAAACATGCTTATTTGTTTCCTCTCACGCCGGCAGAGAATCCACGCATCCCACTTGAGTCACGAACTACAGTTTGTCATGGCTACGAGGCGGTGATTGCTAGTAGCGGTATCTGACACTGACACAGGCAGTGTTGGATGACCACACTGGAAATTCATTGGATAAGCTAGGTGCGTCATGTCCTGACTCAGTGACATTTGTTTACCATCATTTGAAAGAGTCAACCTTACCAACACAAACGAACGCTGTCATTTACCTTGGGACAAGCAGGGTAACCATTTGCCAATCACTAAACGCCAAAGCACGCTGAAATTATGCCGGTCGTAGCCTTGATCCGCTGCAGCACCACCTTCCAAGGAATTCGCATCAAAGTGTTTGATGGTCACTGCCACCTGCGAGCCGCAGGCCAAAAGGCAACGGATGGTTCGTACCAATAACCTTGTTTTACAAATGTGTACAGACGCTGCGTGGCCAAATCTTCAGCGTTTTGGTTTCTATGGTCAAAGAAAGTTTAGTTAAGAAAAACCCGTGGTTGGGAACAGTCAAAAAGTGAGGGAATAGTAAACGCGGGCAATAAGTTAAGTCAACGAGGTAGCGTAAACAACTTGCTAAGTTCACGAGTTAACATAGACAGTAGCTAAGCGAAGAGCAAGCTAAGTCCACGAGTTAGCTAAGTTCAAGAGGTCGTGTCCAGAAGTGGCTAAGTTCAAGAGTTAGCGTAGACTAGCTGAGTGAAGAGTTATGAAGAGTTGTATAGTTGGCTAAGCCCACAAGGTGGAAGTTGCCAAAGTGTGCACGGTCTTCGAAAATCAAGGCGGAAGCTTCCAAGGTGTGTAGCTATCGTCAAGACAGAATCAAGGTGGAAGTAACTGTCGTCGAAAATCGAGGTGAGTGTGAACGGTTGAATGTAAGGCGTTGCGCGAATCCCAGGTTGTGAAAGCTAGCTGTTCGGGCGCGTGCTGCAGGCTGGGCATGACTTTCGTTGCAAGATGGAAGCTGCCAGAGTGCAACTGTCTTCGAAGATCACAGTGGAAGTGGCCAAGGTGTGTGATGCGGTTGAAAAACCATGTGGAAATTGCCAATGTGTGTGTATAGCTGTCATCGAAAATCAAGGTACTAGTTGCGAAAGTGTGAGAGGTCGCCGAAATCAAGGTGGAAGTGGGCAAAGCGTGTAACTGTCGTCAAAAAGCAGGGGGGGTTCTGGGCTCAGAACTGGCAAGTCTGTAGTACAAATGCAACGCGGGAAGCAGCTCCTGGTATTCTGATTAGAACTGGCAACTTTGAGCCAAGTGTGGTAGTTCTGCAACGCAGAAATGGTGAAATGACGTCCGTGAAAATTGGCGCGGCCGTGGTGGAAGGTGCGTTGTCCTTTCTCTGTGCCATTGGGGAAGCACGTGTGTGTAAATGCGGCGTGTCGCTGGTGAGTGGGATGATTGGTGGTGCCAACAGCGCTTGGTGTCACGCGATTGCCTCCAAGGGGCTTGGTTGACCACACATGCATTCAGCGCAAAACGATGAACCTCTTCCTATAGTTGTCCTTTTTCAACTTCAGCCCTTGGCTTGCCAAGATTACTTTTATGCTTTCTTGCAGGTACCGTACGAGTACGTGCAAGTTGAAACAGCAGGAAAAGCACTAGACGTGAAGTAAGCCTCTGAGACCACTGGAAGTAGTGGACAACATACGTACAAATGATGAAATACAATACAATGTCTTAGAGCAGGAAACCCGCACTACTAACCATGACTTGAATTCTTTGGTCCGGTGGTTGGCCGTGGGACTTTCTTCCGAGGCAAAGGAGAGAGGACATACGGGAAGGGACTGTTGAACAACTTCTCACATCGTCCAACCAATGAGACCATCAAATACATCCTTGCCTGAATGTAGCGTTGATCTTCACCCTCTTGGAGGCCTTTGGTCCACGCCACTCCCAGCTGACCCATCAGAAATGGATCTTCAGTCCCTCCTTCGCCTGAAGGCCAGCAAGGCTCGGATTATCATCCTATGTGGATGTACACAGGCGGCTAACACCCCATGACGGGACTCACTAGCCACATTGGAAGGAACTTATTAGACAGGATGTTGTGCGACCCCAATTCTGGAATGTATCGACCTACGAATTGATGCATTCTCAGGGTTGAACCGTTTGAAAATGATTGTTGGGCGGTGCTTCCGGGATTCTTGGACCAGCAACTTCATCGACACAAAGAGCTGCAACAGCAAACGAGTCTAACCGAGTCAAGTTCCAACATCTCCCAACTGGTGCAGTCAAGCAACCGTGGCGTCCCCAGCGTGGATCTCGATTGATGTTCGCCACGGGACCCCAACAGTCTAGACCCATGCCATTCCTTAGTAATTTCAGGCGGTTACCACCTTGGATGGATGAAGGGTGTTGAGTAGCGGGCTGATTTCGGTGGTCCATGACCAGGCGTTTACACTGCCCTTCCAGAAAATGTGCAGTAAGAACAAGGCTATGTTTGACAATTCTGCAACCTGTCCAAACCTATGTTCGACCATTTTACTCACCAGAATCGCAATTTTGCCAGCAAGGACCTGCTTCATTCCACTGAATGGAAGGCAGTCCACCGTGGGTGTTTGGTGCATGTTGTTCTCTCAGTGTTCAACGTGAAAGATGCTTGTTGCAGACCCAGAAGGCAGTCTTTTTACGCAGATTCCATCTCTCTCTCTCTCTATCTCTCTCTCTCTCTTTCTACCGCGTTGATATGCCTTTTCAAAGCACATGTTGCATACTGTCCTATATAATATATACATCTGCACTGCTCAATTAATGCAACCATATCTTTGCAGAAACATTACATTGCACTTCCCAAGTCAACTTCTGGCTGGTCAGAAGCATATCAATGCATAACTGTGTGGTTCGAGAGCGCAAGCGTGCGTCATGTGGTGCTTCCAAAGGCACAACTCTGAATGTCCAAAACTTCAGATGGGTGCTGTCAGATAATGATATGCACCTATGCATTTTGATTGTACAAGTTTGTGTTTTCAGAAGCACGCTGGTCTATCGACGGGAAAAGATCTGTCCTTTCACAAACATGCTGCTGTGCGTTTCAGAAGTTCATCTGTGTATTTTTGAGCAATACAAAGGCCTCAGCGGCCTCATCCCAGATATATATATATATATCAAGTTGAACTTCCACAGTGAAACTCCGTCTTTTCAAACACATACCTCTGTGCATTTGCAGAAACTCGACGTTGCGTTGCATTTCCAAAGTCAAAATGTTGCTTTCCAAAAGCATTCAAAATGTTATTTGTGGATTTCGGGCAGAGAAACCAGGAATCCGACGCACAGGTTGCCAACGGGGAGCCAAGAAGGAAGTGGGGTAATCATCTGGTGCCAGTGAAGAAAAAAGAAAGGAGACAAGTGGGGAAATCGCAACAGGTTGCCAGTGGCGAGACGAGGAGAAGACCAGTCTGGTAATCATGTTGTGAACTGGGGAAGTCATGCTGTGACCACAGGGGACACATGAATAAACATGTCGTGACAGGTTAGAGTGGGGATCGCAGAAGGTATGGAACAGCATTTCATGGTGTGAACCATGGCCATTTAGGCTAGCCTGCTCATACATGCGCATTATGCCAGATCCCTGGCCAAAAACGCTGCCAGACCTTCCAGGTCTGCAGCTTCAGGGCCGTCCTCCGCATCCAAAAAAATCAGCCCAGCATCCAAAAGAGCCGTTGACTAAGGGAGACAACACAGAATCATCTAAGCCCAAAGCGGCATGGGAGACAAAGGAAGAAAAAGAAGACAGAGCAACATCATTTCAGCCCAGCATCGACAAAGGGGAACAAACAAAGCAGAAACATTTCAGCCCAGCATCCAAGAAGTCATGCGAGACAGCAAGAGACAAAGCAACTCGTTTCTATGCAAGAATTGAGAACCCCTCACAGCAAAGCTGTTTGTGAAGAGCAACTGTACTCGCTCACGCTCTTTTTTCCACTTGAGCCAATGCAACGAGTGCATACCCGATTGACCTCTGGTTTCTGGTGTCGGGTGACTGTCAGTAAATGGATCTGTGGATCTTGTGATATACAGGATGATCCGTCCATTCCTCTCCAAAAGCACTGCCAAAAATAGCTTCAAATGCTACAGCGTGGCCTTTGGTTCACTAGTCTTTACATATGGAGAACTGTCGAGCTCGGCTCTGACAGAGTACTTATGGTGTACTGATTCCCAGCAACAAGTCTTCAGCATACACTAGAAGCGTACACTGCAAGATGTCATGTAGCACGGATGGAGCTTCACACCCCCCCATGCTGAACGGCTGTTGCTTAAAAGAATTCTCTTCCACAGCTCATCGGAACATCTAAATCTGCATTCCAATGATCGAAAACAATCAAGGAACTAGGACCGGAATACTGTGGATCTCAACCAAAAACTTGAAACACTTCGAAATTTCTCTCTCCAGCTTCGAATCTCACCCACGTGGCTTCGACTCATAGCAATTCGCACACACTCGATATTTCACCAAGGTGTCCGACTGCCGAAAAGCGCAGTATGGACCAATGTGCAAGAATCGCTCTTGTGAACCTTCTCTCGGAAAATCGCCATACAACTGGCGTCCAGATTCCACAAGATCAAAATTGATACACTCGCAGGTCTTGTACTCAAGAAATCGGCTTCGACGAACATCGGCTCGTGCCAAATGGTGGCACGTGGAGAAATGCACCACTTCCCTTCTGCTAAAGGCGGTCATCACAGTTCCTGCTGAACTTCGACGCGGTGCAACAATCCCTTGAGCATCAACCCTGGATCCGGTATCATTTTGTGGACCTCTAGGTGGATCACTTGAACTCACTCCCGCAACATTGTCCAACCTCTCTGGATGGTCTGGAGATTGATCTGCTGTACGCACATCATCTGCTAAGAGATGGAACAAATCATCTTCTGCAACATAGGGTTCACCCAGGTTCCGAGCTTCTCTTGCAGAGGTACCCGAATCCGGAGTGTCGGACATGGCTAAGCAAAAGATGAAGATTGGTTCAACTTAGTTGAATCAAGAAAAATCTGTGCTTGCAAGCTAAAAGTGATACATTCTTGGATATCCGTCTTGAAACACGTGAGATCTCATTTAAATCTTCATGAAGTTCCTGGCAAACCTTAGTGCGAAACGATAAGGATATAAACCAAGACTCTTCGAATCCTGATGATTCAGGGGCGCATGCTTGAAACATTTACACACCGGCATCTTCTTGTTGGCCAACTCATCATGACTGCTCATGATCCTATACTCGTGCTTCGCTCGAACCTCTTCTGTCGAGAACGCACATCTCGCTACCACGATCTCATGCCTCAGACCTTGACGTTCCACAAACAACTCAATCTCTTGCTCTTTCCAGTATCTACAACTCTTCGAAAGCTCCAACGCCCTGACATGTCCCTCTTGGAAAATTGATTCAACATCATGGAGAATTGGGACAAACTCGGACCAATGGCGTTCATAGAGACTCTTCCCATTCGAACAGAGCTGCAACATAGGACTTCCACCAGTACACGGTGGTGATCCCCAAGCAAGGATGGTCACTAAATTCCCGATCTGCTGCATCCAATCACAAGTCATCTTACACACATGTGATAAAGGGGTATCCAAGGTGATTGAAACAACTCTCAACTTAGGAAACTTGTTTTCAATCTGGGTAAAACCGGCTCTGCCACTAGTACAAACATCCACTATCACGTGTGTGCATTGACCCATATGGATGGCTGATGCAATCTGTATCAACCTCTTTCGGAACGACTGAAGGCATCGTGTAGCCGCCTCTACGGGCAACACCTCTACGGGCAACACCTCTGTGGGCAACACCTCTCTGGGCAACACCTCTAAGGGCAACACCTCTACGGGCACCAACTTCTTCGCGAAGTCCAGCTCTAGCTTGCTAGCCAGCTCAGAGCCCACCTGATCATCGTCAGGCACGTCCGATTCCGAATCGAACATCACCGTCCTCTCACGGGACACATCCGCCTGAACCTCATGTTCGGCGCGTTCACCTCGTGAACTACTCAATCCCTCTGGATCCGAAACCCTAGGTTTCCGTTTCGAAGCTTGCTTCGAACACTCCAACTGCCAACCCTCTGGCGGGTCAACATCTACAATCCCTAAATTCTCTGCACGCCGAAAATGCGCTTCCTTGGGAAGGATCTTGGTGCAAAGATCTGCAACACAATCTGCTGTACCTACCCAGTTCAAGATAACAACACCGTTGTTGACCAACTCCTGTACATAGCAAACCGACAACGACAAGTGACGGACTCTTCTGCTCAATCCATCATTCTTCATGACTGCTAGACACGATTCCGAATCGCTCAACACATGAATTGGCTGGTAGTCCAAACTGCTACTTCCAACCACATCGAACTCCCAATTTGCTTTGGTGTTCACCATTTCTTCCAAGTCATGAACTCTATCGAATCTGCTCACAAACTCAACAAGGTGTCGAATCCCTATGGCTTCTTTTACCATTGTACACAAGGAGATGACTTCTGCTTCGCATGATGACAAAGTCACACATCCCTGAACTCGTGAAACTGCCTTCAACAGGCATCCATGCCAATAGATGGCTCCCCCGGTCGTGGATTTTCGCTTTTCCATGTCATTTGGACCCCAAGAAGCATCCGAAACAACTAGGAGCCCTTCCTGATTTGGACAAGTCACTGCCATGACGTACTCAGTCGGAAACACATGCCATGAGTGACAAATTGCACGAACAAAACGAAGGTATTTCCTCAAAGCATTTTCATGATGCTGGTTTGGTTCTCCTTGGCCAATCGCCAAGAGACTGATGAATCTCCCTTGGTCTGGTCTCGACTGGCCCCACCAGGCAACACGTCCCAGTATCCTTCGATAACGTTGTGCTCCTTCAGGACTCAACTTCTCAACCTCATCAGGTTTCTTACTGATCTTGCCTAAGTCGATCAGGAGATCTGGCGGAATGGTGGTTGGCTTCACATCGAACTCTTGGAAAACCGTCTCAAGATACGATGGATGAACTCTCACTTGGATGTTGGACGAAAATGGCAATCTACGAACAACCCTTCCAAGAAACGTAATGGAACCTCCCTCGGTCTTCGAGTTACCGATTACTCCTGTGGATTTCACCTTCAACTTAGAACCCAAGGTATCCTTGATTTCTTGGATTCCTTCTTTGCTAGAGGCCCCAATCAGCAAATCATCCACGTAGATCAAGATGACTCCAAAAGCTCTACTTTCTTTCAACTGTCCGCACAGGATGGTGGGTTCAGATGGCGAACTGATCAAACCAATCTCCTTCAACTCATTGGAACAAGTCAACAACCAAGCTTTTGCTGCTGATCGAAGGCCGTTCATTGCCT